CGCAAATTCACTTTACTGATGTAAAGTGGCTGCCCCCCCCCCCCCCCCTTCCCATAGTACAAAGACTGCATGACAGTAGTGTATAAAATCCTGATACTTTTCCAGTTAGAAATAGTGTTTGGCAAGTGTTAAATTTTGTTCACCTAGAATGTGTATTTATGATATCTGTCAACAGCCTTACAGCATTCTGGTTTTTGTTCAAAAATACATTTTACCTTTCAAAAATATTATAACCACCAATCTGGTCTTCCCTTCTTTGGGTTCTTCTCTCATGTCTCAGTGCATGATTAAAGCATGAATCAATGTTTTTAAAAAACACATCCTTTCTCCAAAAGATGTTAGGTATTGCAGATTATGGGGGGCGGGGAAGGAGGAAAGCTGGTTTTTTTCCTTGACTCATGGATGTCAGTTTAAGAACTAGAAAAATGGTATCACAAGTCCTCTGTAAAGCAGCTGCCTCTGAGTCCCCTGTACTGTAATACTACTAACGTGGGGCTCTCAGCTCTTAAAAAACACTAATTAATGCTTCAGTTTCCCCACTGTGAGCATGGTTAAACGAGTTAATAAAAATACTGTTACCTGTCTATGCTCATTACTTCCCCTTTGGTTATCTTATGGGATGCTCCATCAGTGGAAAATATAGATAGTGGTAAAGAAAAAATAAGTAAACACAAAAGGCAGACAAAGCAAACACTACTAGGAACACTGGTATTTACCTCGCAGTCACTTTAGAGGTGCACGGGCTACAAAAGCGAGCTGCACCAGCTGAGATGCTGACCTCTATGCTTCAGAAAGAAATAAAGCTGATACCTAAATACACAACAAGTAGTCACAGAAGACCTATATACACAACTGTAATCGTAGGGAGCTTCTGAAAATCTGGTGTTGTGAATTCTCATTGCCCTTCCAGAACAGCTGTATCCTCCACACAGCTAGCACTCACAGCAAAGCAAACTGTTCATCAAGAAACACAACAAAAACTGGGAACCACCCCCCCCTTCACATGCAGCAGCGTGGCCACACTAACACGGCAGTAGAAACTGCTGCAATGCTTCTTGGACTCTAACATGCATTAATACAGAAGTCTGCACTGAAAATATCAGAACTAGCATCATTCAATCAGCTTGGCATCATCTTCTTGTTACAGTTCCCTTTGTATTTTGACAAAGGAAAAAATGCCCGAGCAGAATCCAGCACATCTCTGCCTAGTTCTCCACAGTCAAACCCTGCTGTTTGCAGAAGAGATTAAGGAAGGAGGGGAGAGTGTTGTTCAGCAAAAAGACTGCTCCCAACTGACTTTATACAAAGAATTATAACAAAAAGAACATTTTCCAGGCATTGCAACTGTTCCACCCTGTAAAGCATAACATATATAAGCTTCTATGCAGTTTTAACTCCCTTTGGATGAAAGAGGATTTCTTGTAAAGAAGGACAGGCAGGACTCTATGAGCCAGCATTTAGAAGTGTTTGCAATCACTATGCTCCATTTTAATTTCATATCACTGGGGAAGGTGGTGGCTAAGAAATAAGGACAGCTACATTGAATGTGAGCAAACATCTATCCAGTCCAGGATCTGTGCCCTTCAACATTGGTCTCAAAGAGCATAAGATGCTCTTTGCCGGGTGGAAAGGCAGATATGAAGTGTGCAGTCTGAAAGCAGGTGGGGAAGGAGAAAATCCTGTATCTGTGCTGTCGGCACTGCTTTTCTTCTGGCTGGAAGAGCAAAAAGCCACCAGCAGCTCTGCTATGATTAAGAGTGTTCGTGTTTTGCAGCTCTCCTAACAACTGGAGATCTCTTCAGGCAGCTTGGCACGCTCCGCAGCCTGTACTAGTTCATGCTTCTCTCTGGGGAGAAAGAAGTGGAGCAAGATTCTACTCTCTCGGCCATTTTTCATCTAGAATGCAATTTGAATTGTTGTAATTAAGTTAATTATGTTTACCAAGTAATAGCCTAAAGCAGTTTGAGGAATTATTACAGTGAAACAGTACAGTTGAAGCAAGGTGTTCAGAGCCATTCCAGTCCGTGCTTGTTTTACAGCAACTCATACATGAGAAAATTGCATCTTGAGCTTGCTTTACTGAATTTTCTGATTCAAGAAAGTTATTTGGGAAAATGAAGTGTGGGAAATACAGACACAAGGGTCTGCTGGATGTTAGGTCCAAGTTAGCTGTATCTGCTAACCATTCATGCATGAGCAGAGAGCACAAGCAAAGTTCTGTATTTCAAAACAAATTTCTTGAAAAATACTGCCTTTATTTAACAATCGTCATATATTGGAAAACTGTAGTACGAGTTGTTATGCCAGACAAATTCATTCCATCAATTACATATACATAGCACAGAGTCAGCAACAACTCATGTGAAACCCAAGTACTGATCCAATCATTAGCGAAAAAATCTGGTAGTTTTCCTAGAGACCATCAGTGTCATAGTTATTTTCTACAGCTAACTCAGTCCTTGAACAGCTCTGAAGGAAAGCTGTGATCCCAGCTGAAAAGGAGAAACACAGCACATGTCTGCTGACTGAATTATTAAAATTATATCCCTTAGGAGAGAAGATATTTTTGTTTTATAGAGTGTGTGTGTATCTAAGCCAAATTCTCAAAAGCTGTAAAAGGATACAGGAGACTATAATGTAGTGTTCAGTATCTTTATTAGACTAAGCCAGATGTAGTCAAGTTTACAATACAGGTAACTTTTCCTCTCCTGTAAAAACAAACAGAAAATGATACCTACCTACCTACATGTATGATGTAAAAATTAACATGCAATAATTATTTTCAATAGCGATTTATACTCAAAAAAGGCAACCCTGACTATGTGATGAGTTTGGTTTTAAAATTTGTAGTGGGTGTACCTGCAGAAAACAACTCCTCCTGTGAGGCTGGAACTGGGAGAAGCCCAGATCACTTGATAAAACATAGAGTTTCAGAACAGAGTCATCTGCTTTCCATGCCACTACCCAATTCAGCTATTACAAAAACAAAGAGGAGGGTACAGGGAATGTATCCTATGCTGCTGACCAGTTCAAACTTGCCCAGGCTCCTAAAAGCCATCACCGTCGTCCTCTAGAAGAGACTGTCATCCTGCACACTCAAAGTTATGTTTTTATTTATGCGTCTAACTCTTTTTCTCTGTCAATTTCTATTCAAGAACTATGCCGCAATAAAATCTTGCAGACTATGCAGCTTTGGTGCACTGTTTTGAAATTTGTTTAAAGTTTAAAACCAGACTGATTTCCTCTATATAAATCATCTTATATCTCTAGCATACCACTTTCAGTTCTTCTCTGTATTCAGCCTTGATTTGCATTAATGCTGAAGATACCACCATTAAAGGAAAAACATAAGCGTATGTTTATGTTTATAAGAATCACACATAAGTATATACAACATGACTATAAACCCAGACCACAATGTATATTACAAAGGAAGAGAAAAATCTCTGGACTTTTGAAAACATTGATATACAGGACTCAAAGAAAGGCAGAAATTAAAAACACACTCAAATTCTTAAAAGACCCCTCCCCCCCAATAAGAAACAATAACCACCTCAACATTATGTTCAATAAAAATAGGATGTTAAAAATTAGAGACAGTGAAAATGAATCAGAATAATTCAGTAGCCTTAGATACATTTTTATTACAGTACTAAAAAAAAAGGCATCTGGATTCCTACATGGAATAAAGAAAGAAATTATTTCTAACAGGCTTAACTCAAACTCCTCCAATACTCTTAAAAATACTCATTTTCACAAGGGCTAAGAAAGGTACTAGTTATCCCGGCCTTCTACTATATACAACTCCACAACTGTGGAAGAGAGCCCACTACAAATCCTGTATTTCGAACAGCTGAATTCACATAAAGGATTGCCACCTTTATGAAACCAGTTCATCAGAAAACAGCTTTCCCTTCACTGAAAACTGAAAGGACTGTGAAGAAGCAACTTACTTTTCTTGCAGAGTCAACTCAATGCATGGTAGGTAATAAATAAAAAGAAAACTATTTTTAAAACAAATGAAATTTCCTTTTCTACAAGTAGTGTGTTAATATTCCAAATATACCTTTGTTGCTAAAATCATCAATCAGCACAATTTCTGCCAAGTATTTCCTTGGTGTTCTCTTAATGACACTGTGGACTGTCCTCATGAGTGTGGACCATCCTTCATTATGGAAGACAATGACAACGCTGGAGGTGAGCAGGTTATCATCATAATGCCAGTACTTGCACCTGTAAAAAGATTTGATTTTATTAGTTTTCACATTATGATTTACAGAACTGCTTAACATCATCTTTGTGCAAATGAAATCTTCACTGATGGCTATCCTTCAGATTAAAGAGAAAGAGGGTATAAAAGGTAATACAGCTTAAGTGCATCACAGAGGTACAAGGCCCAAATAGCAGCTTGCTTCCAGCCAGCAAGCCTTTTTTCCTCCTGAGAAAGACGGGATGTAGCTGGTGAACAACGACTGCTGCCTCAACAGCTACATGCTTCCTCCTGTGTAGGTGGATAGCATTGCACAGACGCATCTGAGAGACATCCTGACCGCCACCGCCGCCACCTCGCTGCTTGTGCGGCCAGTAGAGAACAGTGGAAGAAAAGCCCCAGACTGTGGCTGCCAAGATGGGAGTCTTCTTCAAACCATCAGATACCACGATTTACGATGGACCATGCATTTGGCTCACCTACTGCATAACACACAATAAGACAGTGCTGTTTCTTTCTAAGCCTCTTTAAATCAGATTTACCCAGTAGAAGGACTGTCTATGGTGTTTCTGTTGGCTTTACACAGTTCACATGCAGAATCTGCATAATTAGCAAAGTTACAAACACTGTTGTGGCAAGGCAATCAAAACTCATTAATTTCCGTCCTTTCACAATAAAATAGATTTAAACCTAGTAAGTAAACTTGCTAGAAGTACAGCAGCAGCATGTGAAATGCTCATGTCAGCTGTTCTGCATAGAACTATCTCCATTTGCAAAAACTGTCAGAAAAACATAGTTGCTCATGGGAAAAATGTAATCCTGTGGCAGACAAGACATGACCTTTGCTGTTTATTATTCATGGTTAAACTTCCAGGCGTAACAAATGTAGCTAAAAAAAACCAACCCAGTCACCAAACCCATTCAGGGTTCCGGCTTGGCATGCCATGAAAAGCACTTCTGTACCCATTTAAAACATTTGGCATTTCAATTTCACTGTGGACCTGGACTCAGGTCTTTTTTCCTGAGGTATTACAGATGATTTAGAAAAAAGCAATATGAGTAATTCAGTCCACACCTTCCAATATTTATTAATCACATTTATCAACGATCCATTTCATTTGCAACTGTAACGTCCATTTCCCCAACCGCATCCCTAAATGAAGGTGTTCACAGTCTCCCTAATTACAACCAGTCCAGGTATTTCCTTACCTGGAAGTTTCCCTACCTGATCACTAGCCCCTCTTCCAACTATAATAATACAATTCCTATCACCAAATCCAGAGACATAACACTTTTGATTTCAATGGGCGAAAGACTTCCTTTTTTAATCTTTCAGCAAGTAAAGTCTCTACTAGAGAGATTTGACTTTTCAAAGACAACTATCATGTATTAAGAAATTATTCCTGACAAACGGAAACTTTTAAACTTACGGACACACAAACTTCCATAGTTATATTTCTGTATATAAAATAAAAAGCTTAAATGCACAGAAACATTCATGTGTTTGAAAATAAATTACCTTAATCATCAGAAATCACCATAGTTTCTGAAACTAAATTATGTTAAATGTGGGAAGAACTCACATAACAGATCTATAGGTATTTAAAGAGCATTTCATTGGTGAAGATGGATGTATTTCACTTACTGTCAAGGAACAGCATCAATATATATTTCCAACCCACCAGAAAAAAAAGAAATTGGTATAAACACACTATTCATTTTGGTCCTGTGGGAAAAGAAAACTACAGGATCAAACCAGTGTATAACTAAGATGATCTAATAAGGCATTTTTTCTCTTAGTCAGGCATGCTGTAAGCAACCTCTGAAACAGCACGATCTCTACAAGTACGGTTTATTGACTAAAATCCTCCAGCTCAATTGTTTTTATGCCTAAAGTATCCACAGCTAATCATATTTGTAAGCTACCAATATACAAGTGCTAGACTGACCGTTTAAAATGCACGGTTCAGGCCACGGATGCCTTCCTTTCACAGATCCCTCTCAAAAGATTTCAGCTGATTACAGAGCGCAATACTTCAATTTGTAGCACAAGCATTTAAGCTGTCAACAACTTATTTAGCTATTTGCAGAGATAAAATGGATACGCTACCTAGGTGCATTAAGTTGGCTGTGTAAAGAAAGATTTTTCCATCGTGTGTTTAATAACAGACTAATGACAGAACTGTGTTGTTTTAACACATCTATTCACCTGGATTAATTTTGGTGGTACAGTTATGTTAAAATGGAGGAAAACTGTGTGTTATACAATCAAAACTGGCATGCCAGCTGAACGCCATTCAAGAGCTCCATGTAAAAGGTAGTGGAAATTAATAGTACTTTTTGCCTCGAAGGAGAGGGCAGTATCTGTTGCAGGTTGCACTGTGCCGCTGACCTGCACCTTCAGCTAGGAAAGCTTTTTGCTCTCCAATTAAAAAGACAGACAGCCACAACATTTCAGACTGTCTTCAACAACAGAAACAAAGCAAACACTGCAAAAAACCCCAAATCATTTGCTTGTTTTTTTCTCCCACTTTCTGTACTGTCGGTAAGTCATATTTAGGAACAAAATGGTGAAGAGCATAAGAATGAAAGACAGTAAGTGACTTAACATAATTTTAAAAAGTCAAACCTACTATAAAAGCCTGAATCAAACAACACATCTGTGAGCAATTTATAAGCATTTTTTGATCTGTATTTAATACATTTTTAAAACATAAAAGCAGAGGTCTAGACAGGCTTTTTGCTACATATCCAACTTAATCTCCTCAAATCTGTCAGCACATTTTACTTTTTAAACTTGAAAAATCATGTGTTGCTAAATGTGCCATTTGCAAGCCATAAAAGCACTACATTTATACCTCTAGTAAGATCATACTTTTAGTTTTTTCCAGAGGCTTTATTTCACTTATTGGACAGTGCACAGACTGACTCATCAAGCCCGTAAGCTCCAACAGGCTGCAGTAACTTGTATGCACAATCCTTGTCTCTCCTCTTGCATTAAGAATTAGAGGTTTGAAACACAGTAGTAGTTTTAGATATCTGCAATTAATGCATCTTTTAATCTCTGTGGCAATTTTTTCAAGAAACTCAAACATTGCTCAGTTATTTGAGTGACAAAAATCAGGAGCCTCTGCTCTTGTTTTCTTCACATCCACAGGGAAGGAAGTGGGGAAGAGCCTTTCTTCAGCGGAGCAGCACTGACATCCAGTGGCTGGCAAACCAAATACCAAGTAACGTGTTTTCCCTGTGTTTGAAGCTGAATTTTGCAGTACTAGTTTCCCTGTAAATTTCAGCCACCAGGAAGGGAAAAAGCCTGAATTCCCAGACTCATGCTTCAGTTTTCAAAGACAGGATCAAGTAGCTATGGGCATCCAGGCAAAAGCTGCAAGCTACTGGAAACTGGCACGGTATGCATTCAGAGTATGAAAAGGTCTGTAACAAAGAGGATTTAAATACGTTTCAACCTCTAGCTTCATCCCCTGGGTGCTGTCCTGCCCACATATGGTAGCACGGTGGCCTTTCAGCTGTAGCCTGCAGGCCAGCTGTGGTGATACACTGTGAACCAAATTAGTAAACATAAACTTACTTTAAAAAATTTATTTTGAATTCTTATTGGTATAGCTGAGAGGATGGCACATTGCATTAGATATGCAGGAACGAGCATCCTTAAGCAAGTCTTGCCTCCAGACACTTCACATCACTTTTGCTGACCCCTGTAAAGAGTTATTGTATGGGGCAAGAAGGAGTAGGCATGCGGAGATCTGTGAAGGGCTGGCAACACCTTCCCTGGGCAGCGCTGCAGGGAAGAGCAGGTCTGTTTGCTTCCCTTCTGCAGGGAACTCACAGGTGAAAGGAAGCAACACCTTCAGATCCGTCCATTAAAAAAAACTTCCTATTTCCAAATCAGCACTGGTTATTACTGAGCAAAAACATGGACTGACTCACCACTGGAGCGAGAAGAAGCCTTCTGAAAGATACAGTAGTGATCTAATGGAGAAACAGAGTAAGTAACGTTTCTTCTGTTAGCCTGAATACTTAAGACGTGAGTTCGTCCTACTCCCTCTCCACCCCTGGGAGGGAACAGCACTGTTGGAGACTGCGCCACACTAACGTCCCCGTCCCTCGATCACAAAGCTGTGGACCAGCCGCAGCAGGAGAGGAGCCCTTTTACGGAGAACCCCTCTGCATGAGAAGCTGGAGATCTAGGCTGGGGTGCCCCTTGGCTTGAGGAAATTTCTGCTCTTACAGCTTTGTACCTATTCATTGGCTTGCTCTTACTCATGTCCCCTAGACCCACAGAAGTGATGGTGGGTGCACGGTCCAAGGCCTGGATGGCCCTACAGCCTCCCTGTTAGCAACCACTGCAGTTACAGATGTAGGCTCAAACTTCCTCAGGCTAAAAAAAGCCCAGGCTAGAGCCTGCTTCTACTGGAAAAGTAATGCACCCATCAAGCAAAAATGCAAGAAGTGAACAAGGAGAGCACTTTGACAGCAATTTAAGAGTGAGCCCCAGTCAGATAGATACCTGGAGGGCAATTTGAGATCTTGCGCCTACAGAAGTGCTTCTCACATCATCCTGAATTCCTAACTTCCCCAGCCTACCAGCACCTAAGCTCCAGAAAAAAGTAAGCGATACTGTGGCCGCAACCAACTCTCCATCCTGATACTATCTTCCTCAGGGCAACTATCTAGCAAGCACCTGCGCTTACCAAAGGCACATCGGTCCCCGCTCTGGATTTTAAAGCGCTGTACTTGTGTGCTCAGACCACGACGCAGCAGCACAGGTTTCTCCGAGATAGCAGGCAGCTGCCATCACATTCCTGTAACTGCTCCAGCAGCCCTCTCCTAAGCGGCTCAAGCCAGCTGTTCCAAGCTGAGAACCCCGAATCAGTACAAAGCTGAAGGTCTCAATTTAGCATTTATCTTGAAATTGTAATTGACATTAAAAAATGCAATCTCTCTTCTCCATTAATATAAAACTGTTCAGAATTTTAAATTGTATTTTAAGTTTCATTTCATGTTT